TTTACCATCAATTGTTGAAGCATATGTACATCATGTTTTGCATTGTGAGCACTGTATTCAGTGTGTAAATAATCATTAACCAGGTTTTCTTCAGAGTAAGATGATCGAGGTGGTAAAATTTCACGAAATACAGAGAGCGTATCAGAAAAGCAGCAATGTTTATGTTTCAGTTTGTCTAAAAGACCATATCTTTGCACAGAACTAACCAGAATCCTAGCATCAAAATTCTTACAGTTATGTGCAACTAACACAGAATTTAATGGAATCCATTCTATAAAACTCTCAAGAGCATCTTTCTGTGATAATGTTGGTACTAAATTAAAGTTATGAAACAGTTTACCACATGTATATGTCAACCCAGTTACATTGGATGCTGCTGGATGTATTGGCTGACAGGGGTCAACATACTCATCAAATATTTTACCATCATAAGATGCAGCAATCTGACAAATTGAGGAATCAATACCAAATGATGTTGTTTCAAGATCAAATACAACAACAGGAGAATCTTGAAGTATTTTTACTGGAAAACTTACAGGAGCATTAACTGGTTCAGGAATACATGTAATATCAATGTCATTTCTAATTGCAATGTTTGTGTTGTATGTGTCACCTTCTCTTAACTCAGTAGCATTACATTTTTTGTTTCGCTCCTCTTTTAATTGTATACGTCTAAGTTTGTATTTTTTGTTTTCTGTCTGCATCTTTCTTTTTCTTGCTTTATTGTCTAGTTTTATTCCCCTCACCTGTGAAACAATTCCAGGAGATAGTCCATTTTCTTTGTTAACACTACAAACATATGTGTATCCACTATTTTTCTGTGAAACTGCTGCTGCAATGCGGATATTTAAACTTTCTGATTTACTGTAATGTCTGTTTTTTGGTGCTTTAGAAGCAACAGTGTTATGAAAACTTTCATTGGCTTGTGTTGAACTCATAAGAGAAAGTTTATTTGCACATGCAGCATAAATTTCAAAAATAGATTTTAAATCTTTACGCAATTCTACCCCAGAAAGATCTTTACCATATGGAAGACGTTTGTGGCAGTAAGTATCTGGCTGACGTTGGTAACCACACCATTTACGATCACATGATTCATGAGATTCAAATACATGGGGAACAATGCAAGCAAGTTTTGATTCATTAAAGCTGCCCTACCTTTGTTCTGAGTAACAGCATAGGAAAAACATGTTTGAAAATACTTGATAACACGTGGTGTTAATATTTTGTGATTTTTTGAAAGTTCATATAGTTTATTTTCCTAGACCTTTTTTGGTGTGGTTCATATCTGGTCTCTTTTCAATATCTTGGTTAATTTCTGTTCTTAGTTTATGAATGGTTGTTGTATCATCATCCATAGTTAAAGATACTGTTTTAGCACTAGTTTTGTTAATAGTTTTTACCACTTCAACAGCAATATCTCCTTCCATAGCTTTGGAACTCCCTGTCCAGTTTTTACGACAGTCATGTATTCTTGTGTTCATATCCCCATTTTCACAAATTTTGCATTCCTTTGAACGCACAGCATATCCCATAATTTACCAGTTGCTTCCCCTATAGCAGCACCATGACCTGACAGACTGTTATATTCTTTGCCAGAGCCAAGGCGCTGTCATGCACCATCAAAGAAAATATCAACTTGATTTTCATGTGAACTAAGTTTTTGTTCTTCAGTTATAGCTTTAACACACAGTCGTTTTGTAACATTCTCAATACCAACACCTGCTTCTCTTTCTCTTTTCTTTAATGTCTTGTGGTGTATACGCAGTATATTCAGTGAGGCAAGGAAGTTATTCACGTAAGTCTCTCCCATTCCACTGTGTACGATTCCTATGTTATGAAATAAGAAACAACTTAGATTCAACATTTTATAAGATTAGTTTTTGCTGCCCTACATTACTAAAAGTATGATCAACAATATATGACCATAAGAGGTTAATAATTGAGATGAATCCTTAGTTTGGCTGTAAATCTTACCGGTGGCTAATTTGGTATTTACATCAAATATAGGTAATCCTTGGTTTGATTTGGCATTCCTATGTGTCGAACCTGTATACACATGGTTTACAGCACCACATCTCTGGCAAGCTATATACAGTACACTACCAAGACCATATCATCTCTCTTCCTGGCAATCCATCAGAACAAGGTGTTCACAACACACAGCACAGGCTTTTAATCCCTCAGCTAGAACAGACAGCTGTACTATTCTGCGTCCAACATTCCAATTTATAGCACTTTCTGAAGTAACTTCCGTAAAGATAAATCACATTATCATTACAGTCATCATGTAAATTAATTTCATGCAATTTGCACTACTATACTGGCTAACAGATATTGACAACAGTAAGATGTTAACATACTATCTGTGCTATTCATAGGAAATGTATGAATATTTACAGAAATAAAAAGAAACCATTATTCCAAAATCATCATTTCTAAAGGAGCCATAGGCAAAACTCTCTCACATTCAGATAAGGTACTTGTAAAAAATAACAATAATGAAAATGTTTAGGTCATGGCTTATTTTCAGAAAAAAACATTTATTGGGAGAAAATGTCCAAAAATATATATTACAATGTATTTAGAACAAAAATATTTGACACAATAACAAATAGAAAAAATAAAATTCAAGTATCTACTATAATATGCAAGCATTTTCATTTTAATTTCCTTAACAGAGCCGCAAGTTCATCATGTTACATGTAAATTTTTTTCTGAAGAGTAAACAGATGAAATTTCAATGGTTTAAATTTATAACACTAGGAAAATAAATAAATGGATTTCAAAACAGCATAATATAGAAAATATTTGAACATGCTGTTTATTCATAGTTAAAATTGTATCCCCTTGGTTATATGGAAGTGAGAGGACAATCATGCCCTCAAATTGGGAGTTTTGTGCGTATAGTTAAAATTACCAGTTCGCGGTTGAATGCACCTCGTCATAAATAATGAAAGC